ACAGGAGATATATATTAGATATGTAAATCTCATTGTTTATAAACATGAGATCATAAAAGCGATATTTTATATATCCGTCTTTTGGTTGGAAAACATTTACTTTGTCTCGAATGGACTATCGTATGCGAACCAGCAATTCCAAAATAATCGTTTATAAAAGAATTGGATAACAATAAAGTCTTTGTGTCTTGAATAAAAAAAAAAGTTAAAATTGTATCATTTTGATTTTGGTCTTCCAAATGGTTTTTTCTTTATGAGGAGAAATCAACTAATTACGGAGAAACTTATCAAATTTCATGATATTTCTAGAATCCTAGAAGATAATGTGTACCACTTAAAAGGAATGGAATAAATTATAAAATAATGACTTAAAAAAGCATTAAACTTGTCCACATGCTTCTAAAGATTACGTAACGTAACACATCTTTTGAGAAACCAAAATCCCATTTTTGTATCCTTTTATATTCTTTCCTTTATAAAGTGACCTAACCACTGTCCACGACACAAATCGTGAAACACCGAACACTAAACCAAAAAACCAAAAAAGGATCTCTTTTTTGTTTGTGAGCTTGAGAGGGATTGCAACAATGGCGAACGAGGTGATTCTTCTTGATTTCTGGCCGAGTATGTTCGGAATGAGGACAAGGATCGCATTGAGAGAGAAAGGTGTCGAATTCGAGTACAGAGAAGAAGATCTAAGGAACAAGAGTCCTCTGCTTCTTCAGATGAATCCGATTCACAAGAAGATTCCGGTTTTGATCCACAATGGTAAACCGGTTTGCGAGTCTAGCATTCAGGTTCAGTACATCGACGAGGTTTGGTCTCACAAGAACCCTATCCTTCCTTCTGATCCTTACCAGAGAGCTCAAGCTAGATTCTGGGCTGATTTCATCGACAAAAAGGTACATCCTTTTTAATCAAAAATTGAAATTGGAAGATTTTAGATGAATTGTGGTTTATGTTCTGCGATTTGGAGATTTCAAAGATTGAAACTTTATTTGAAATCACCCCCAAATTTTAGGGCTTTTTGCTTGTGTACTCAATCTTTGAGCTTGTCTAGCTTTGTCTGAGATAGTTTGATGATTTGGGGAAGTTTAGAGCTCTAAAGGTTAGGTTTTTTGGTTTGTAGACATAAAGTTTTGAGCTTTGTTCTGAGTTATGGCATTAGCTCGATGTTTATGTTACTGTTATGCAATGGATCAGGTGTATGATGTATCTAGGAAGACATGGACAACGAAAGGTGAGGAGCTTGAAGCAGCTAAGAAGGAGCTGATTGAGATACTCAAGACTCTTGAATCTGAGCTTGGAGATAAACCTTACTTCGGTGGCGATGAATTTGGGTATGTCGACATTGCATTGATTGGATTCTACACTTGGTTTCCTGCATACGAGAAGTTTGGTAATTTGAGCATCGAATCAGAGTGTCCAAAGCTGATGGTTTGGGTTAAGAAGTGTTTGGAGAGAGAGACTGTGGCTAAGTCCTTACCTGATCCTCACAAGGTTACTGAGTTCGTCGCTGAGCTCAGGAAGAGATTTGGACTTGAGTAGATTGGTTTTGGTCTCCATGCTCTGAGTTGTGTTCTG